CGTGAAAATCGCACTTCTCGACAAGGTTTGGAACCGGCTACCTCTTGAACATGCTTATTTAATAGCCCAACAACCGCCACATCACCTGATCGTCAAAACTGATGAAAACCTGTTAAAGCTTCTCAACTTTAAGCAAGTTACTTTTAATGCGACAGATATGTACGGGCCGATCTGCCCGAAACGTAAAGATAGGCACACGGAGTTTGGCTAGCACCGATTTTTCATTAGATCCGACATTACAGACACACAACAGGACAGAAGACTTTAAGAAATACTATGAACAGAAGTAAAGCATGGCAAAAGAAACAGCATGACGAAAAAACGTCTACTGCGCAGTCAAAACCGCAGTTGCATGCGAGAAGCGTCTTATGGCCACTATGAAATTCCCTCATACCATAGAAGACGACGCAGTCACGCGAAGATGCGTTGAAAACGTACTGTTTGAAACATGAAATCGGAATATTGATATCTGCGTCAATCAGCTGCTTCTGATTAACTTCGTTATGATGTTCAAAACTATACCGAAGCTAGAGAAGATTTAAACTTATGATCTGCATGTTTAAAGAAAAGAATACTCATTAATACCAAATGTTTTGCCAACCGACAAAATTAAATTGAGTTTCAACCGGTTGCAAATATATTTACAGAAACCAAAGTATACGACCGGTTTGTACAAAATTACATTTTATGGCACTCGTTTGGTGCGTATAAATATATTTTACTATCCATGACTCTCTCTTCCCGCAAGATGTGGCAAGAGTTTTCCATGAAAAATCGTTAGCGATAGGAATGGTGAAACTCCTGAGGAAAATGCGCCATATGTATTTATGTACTGCAGGAGCTCAGATATGATCAAAATTAGTAGCCTGCTAAAATGATTCTCTCCGCTCTCGACGAAAGCAACTAGTACTCTATCCAGTAAATGAAGAACTCTATTGTCACCATAGAGCTCGATCCCATCTTCATCTTCCATCGCCGCTTCTCCTTTCGGGTCGCGGAGGCAGATGCGTCAGACAGTGCTTCCAAC